AGACAGAGACGAGAGACATAGAGAAATTGAAGACTGACCAAGCAAATATCGGGGTGAGCAGATCCACCACCCAGGCCCTCACTGGAAAATGCAAATGTGCAGGGGGTGAGATTTTCAACACTTTCTTGCCTCCGAAATGACATCCCATTAAACACCAGGAAACATGAATGTGAGAAGGGAAACCATGTATCAGCCAAGTCTGGGCTCAGAAGTTGCTGTAGGATCAGCTTTGAACTCTTCTACTGCATTTCCAGTGACCCGAAGAAAGTTACCCCAGAGGAGACTCACAAAAAAGTAAAGTAGAGATTCCTATGTGGATTTTCTTCTTCTTAAATTTTAGGCTGTAATACGTTAACAAATCCATGAGGACTGCTAGGACTCATTTACATCAGCATAGATGCCCCTCTAGGAAAAAGAAGATGAGAGGCTGGGCACGGTGGCTCACGCCTGTAATCCCAGCACTCTGGGAGGCTGAGGCAGGAAGACTGTTTGAACTCAGGAGTTCAAGACCAGCCTGAGCAAGAGCGAGACCCCGTCTCTACAAAAATCAGAAAAATTAGCCGGGCATGGTGGTGTGCACCTGTAGTCTCAGCTACTGGGGAGGCCAAGGCAGGAGGATTGCTTGAGCCCAGGAGTTTGAGCTTGCAGTGAGCTATGACAATGCCACTGCACTCTAGCCCAGGTGACAAGGTGAGACTCCTGAGTCCTCCCAATGTGACAAAGTCAAAGACGGATGTGGACTCAGGAGCAGCAGACCTTGGGAGGCAGTGGAGCTACTTGTGTGGCTGAATCCAAGAGAAAAAACTATCAACTTAGGGGGACTGGGAAGGAGTTGAAATGCTTTTCAGTTATGAGAAATTAAGCAAAAAGAATAAAAGCAGCAGAAAGAAAACATACCATTTCCGTGAAAAATTATATTTCTTCTGATGTCTATGACCACCAAGAGTTCCCACTCTTTTCCGAAGGAATTTTCTTCCTTTCCCTTTAACTCTGAGTGTGTGTTTATTTACCTGCAGTCCGTTCCGCCATCTTAGTGCGCACAGCCGGGGCCAGACCTTCGGTCTTGAACTCACTTATACACACACGTCGCTTTTTCACCCATCCTTGGATTCTTCTTCTTCAAACAGCAGTTGGGTCTCTAAGACGTTTCTCAATTCTAAAATTTTATGATTATTTCATCAGAATTGACAGCCTCCACAGATTTACTTAAAATTATAACGATGTAGGTTTTAAGAGTTTTATTACCCAAAAAAGATATTTATTCCTCAGAACCCATGTAAGAGGATTTCCTGGATTCTTTTCCATACCTTCTTAAGAGCGCTCTTAGGACGGCTGAAGTCATTACAGATCCAGTTGCCTTCTGAAGACACAATTCATTTTGTGATTCCTTGCAAGAAAAAAAAAAAAAAACACCAAATAATATTTTTGTGCAGTTCTCAAAGCCAATCCCTTTACCACTATCCAAAAGCAGTTTTCTCTCATGTCATGCAATTCTTCCCCGCTTCTTTTCCAAAGAGGGCTTGAATATCTGTGTCTGTCTTTTCCATACATCAAGTTCTTTTCCCTGGAGGGGGATCTGTGCCTATATGAATGAGGTCCTAGCAGTCCTTATGGATTTGTGAGCATATTACAACCTAAAATTCAAGAATAAGAAAATCTACATAGGAATCTTTGCTTCGCTCTTCTGTGAGCCTCATCCAGAGAAAGTTTCACTGGGTCATTTGACAACGTGATAGGAGAATCCAAATTTGATTCGACGGAATACTTCTGAGTCCAAACTGGGCCACAATATGGTTTCCATTCTCATATTTGTATTTTCCAGGATTTAACAAGATGCCACTTGGAAGGCAAGAAAGAGGATATTCTGGTGTTGAAAATATCACACACACACACACACACGTTTGCATTTTCCCATAAGATCCTTCAGGGTTGCAGATCATCTTTTCTGGCAATGGAGTTTCTTTCATTTTACTTTAGCTCACCTACTTGTTTCAAATGAATCGAGAGCCCACATAATAAGCAGCTTTAAAAAAACATATTTTTTTATAAGTCGCATGGCCAAAAAAAAAAGGACTTCGACCCAACGATTAGCATATTCTGTAATTGGTTCTGCCGTTGCCTCCCGTCTCCCTTCAGGATAGATGTGGTTTTTAGCAGGTCACAAGAAATGACAAGAATGACAAGAAATGACAGTTTCTGAAACCAGGTCCTACCTGGGATGTTTTATGACTTTTTTGCACTGAAATAAGCATGTTCAGCAGACAGAATAGCAGCGCTATGGCAGCTGTATTTACATCATTGTTTAGTGAATACCGGGCTACCGAGAGGCGCTTGAGGAAATTGGTGATTTTATGATAATGACTCATTTATTCTGCTTCTCCAGGCCTTTCATCTTCCTGCTACGCTTCTCTTTCTCTCCCCCTGTTCTTTCTTAATCGCCAAACCCACCCAAGGCATCCAGGCATGTTATTTACTTCCTGAGAAGTATGGCTCTAGCGTCTGCTCCGCCAGCAGTGGGACGCTACTCTCTTGGCGTGTGTCCTCGGAGGATGGGCCGCCACTCGGGAACGCGGCTCTGCCCACGCCCCAGGCCCACTCTCCCGGCCCAGCCCCATAAAGGGAGCCCTGGGCCTGCCCGCCCTGCGCCCTCCTCGGCTGCCGTCCTGCAGCAGACATGAAGCAGCCATTTCGCCCTCCCTTTGCCAGCCTTCTCCTTGTGGCCCTGCTGTTTCCAGGTAAAACAGAAAGGTGGCCTGGGCGCCAGGACCCCTCTGCAGTGGGCGTTTTGGGAATGGGGTTCGGGCTGGGCAGGGACAGAGGGGATCTGGGAACACATGCTCCGGATGGTGCTCGTGGGCAGGAGCCTCTGAGCGGGCTTTGGAAATGGCCCCGGGAGTGTGCTGATGGCACTGGCTTCCCAGGGAGAGGTCCCTCCCCGACTCCATTTTCTCATCCTCTTAACTTTTCCCTTCCCCTTCCGGATAAGGGCGCTAACTTGTAGGGGAATCTCGACAACTACACTGGTGACACCCGAGGCAAGTGCTCAGCTTGGCTTTGATGGGGAAGCCAGGCTCCCCCTGACCGCACACGCTTCTCACCCGCCGCGCCGGCACCCCTCCAGCCCCCCGGCACCCTTCCAGTCCCCCGGCACCCCTCCAGACCCCCCAGCACCCCTCCAGCCCCCCAGCCCTGAGAGCGCAGGTACCGCGTCCTCACGGGTCCGCGGCACGGAGAGCTCTGAACACGCTGCGCTGGGTATTTATGCTTCAACAGGATCGTCCGGAACCCAGTATGTTAACCACTCAGGCACTGAGGGTCCCAGAGAATTCGAGAAAGGATCTCCTGGTCACTCGGCACACCGCCGAGTAAAACGCTACATCTTACCACCGCGAACCCCTCCTTACCAGGGTAAGTCACGCACCGAAGCGTGTGACAAGTTCATCCCCTCGGGAGAAGTCGAGGGAAGGTGGCTAGGCAGGCAGGGGGTGGGTGAGCGGCAGGGGTTTGGGGTGTGGGTGGCCTGGGCTGCCCTCCCTGTCGGGAAGGCCATGGGGTCTGACACCTCTGCTGGGGCTGGACCACTGAGGGAATTCCGGGGCCAAGAGGCAACTTACCCGAGGCCACGTCTGTAATCGCTGACTTCACCCAAACACAGCAGCTGGAGGAGACACTGGAAGCACATTCTCCTCCTGCCAGGCCGGAGCCCCACTCCCTGGGCCTTGGAGCTCATTCACCCCACAGCAATTTCCTGAATACCTTCCAAGTGCCAGGTGCCAAATGAGGGTCAGGGAATGCTTCCTGGAGATGGGGGCAGAGAACGGGCTGTGCCGTCAGTCTGTCTGGGCAGGGAGGAGCACAGGGGCTGACACAGGGCAACCAGCGCACAGACGCTCTTCCGGACTAACACGGCCAGGCTCCTGGTCTGCCCCAAACCCTGTCCAGGGCCAGCTTCCTATCCACAGGGCTGGAGGAGATGGAGTTTCCAAGATGCTTCCCTAATCCCGAACTCATTGCTAACCCTGAAACAGGAGGGACTAGGTCAGAAGCTCAATGGCAAGTGCCAGGAGGATGAGAGGGTGCTGGTGAAACCAGCAGGTAAAGTCCCAGCAGCAGCCTGTCCGATATCCCGCCCCTGTGGAATCGGCCCTCGTTACAAAGGACTGACTCGTCTCGTTCTCCTCCCAAGGGAAGGGAAAAGAAAGGGCAATCTTTGCACCACGAATATGAACAGGCACCGCACTGGGCATGTGCCGTTTAGTCTAACAGCATCTCTATGAGACAGGATTGTCATTTTCACTTGGTTAGAAGAGACTCAGAAGGAGCAGAGCTATCTATCTGGAGTGGATGTTATAGTTTAGAACTAGATAATCTGTCTTAGGATTAGTTAAAAAACAAACTTAAAACTTTGAACTACAGAAAGCTGTTTCCTATCCATTGCCATCCCACCATATTCCTAAGGGCTAAAGTGACCACTGTTTGACTCTTTTTTTTTAGTTTTCATTTTGTTGTGTTTTGTTGTTTTTTGAAATTTACTGCTTGATTCTTGAGCTCGTTTTAAGAGGCTAATGCTGGATATTTCTTCATACAGAACCTGAACCAGATTTCCAAGTTGTCAACTGCAGGAGAAGCGAAGGCTACTGCCAAGAATACTGTAACTACATGGAAACGCAAGTTGGCTACTGCTCTAAAAAGAAAGACGCCTGCTGTTTACACAGGAGCTGATGCAGCTGACATAGAAGCCTGAGCTCGACCCCCTGTCTGTTCTCCTGGGCCACGACACCGTCAGTCCCAGTGTAGATTTCTGGGAAGTGTCTGAGCAGGGAGGAGCTGAAGTTACCATTCGTGCCAGACAGTCTAAACATTTTATCGTGGCAAAATAAATGACACAAATGCTACACATGATCTCACAGAAAGTGACTTAGCTTGAGAGGCACAGAATCTTCAAAGTCACACACTTTGAGCTGGTAGATGTGTATGTAATAAAATGTCATAGGAAAGCATTCAAATAATTTGTTCTTTCATTTACCAAATATTTCTTGAAAGCCTACTTTTGTTCTAGGCATGAGAAATGAAGCTGATTAGAAACATGGATAATATATGTGAGGAGACAAGTATCTAAACAAATAAAACCAATAAATGCTACATACGATACCA